TGTGAACTTGAACGTCTTTCCACATTTCTCACTCATCTTCAGCCCTTCTCCTTTCCTTTTAGTTTTATTAACTGCAACTGTCTATTTTCATGTGTCTCAGGAGCTGTAGGCTTCTTGAAGGCAGGGACTCTGTCTTAGTTGTTGTAGGGGGCATTCCAGTGCCCAGCACAGGGCCCGACATGTTATGCCCATTTAATAAGTGTTTGTGGAATGAGTAAGTGTACCTGGGCATGCTCTCACCAACACCACAGGTATAAAAGTCACCTTCAGGAGTATCCCAAATACCCTGGCCCGTGGCGGTAATATGCCAGTGCAGTGGATGATTTAACTCAGCCAACATTTATTAAGCATCTACTGTGTGCACTGAAGTGGGCCAGGCACAGGAACGGGACGGGAAGAGTAGGCAGAGTCTGCCACAATGAGACATATGGTGCCTGGGGTCAGGCCAAGTTGTTTCTGTATTTGGCAGATTGTTTTATCTACCAAAAAAGGGGAAAATGTTTACGTCTAGGGTATATTTAGAACTCATATGACAGAAGTCTTCATGGCTATGAGTGTCTAGTGCTTTGGGGAAAATAGTTGCATCAGTATTCGTTAGCTGGCCGTGTTGACCTCTGAGCACAGGAACACTCTTAACTCAGAGTTATTCTTAGCATAAGCGTTGTTAATCATTGAAGAAAAACCACCACAGAGAAAAGCCAGAGGCCAGCTGTGGTCTAGGGGGGGCGTCCTTAAGTCCAGTCTCTATAGTTCTCTCTCTTTTCCTCCAGAAATTTGAAGATGATGTCACCTATTGGCTGAACAGAGATCGGAATGGACACGACTACTACGACGATTACCACCAGCATCACTATGATGAAGATGCTGCGATCGGTCCCCGGAGCCCCGACAGCTTCAGGCACGGGGCCAGCGTCAACTACGACGACTACTAACCGTTAGGTACCACGCGGTGTACAAGGAACCTCTTCGTCACGCCTCGCACCATTTGGTTTCTGTTGTGCTTTATTTCAGTAGTTCTTTTCTACCCACTTTCTGTGACCAGAAAGGAAGTTAAAACAATATAAATGCCTTTTGATATTTCATGCAAGTGCCTAAAAATGCATTTCATTTAAAAACAGAAATAAAAGCATTTTGTTAAAAAGAAAAGTCTCTGAGTTCATTAGGATGAAAAGTAAACTGGTGACAGTTTTCATTCCCTGATGTTTCTGAAGTTGAAGTGTCATCTGAAAGGCACCTCTACATTCTCATCCGGAGTGGGAGCTTCTGAGAATCCTCACCAGCACCCCGTGCAGACCCTGGGGCTGAGCCAGGGGTTTTCAGGTTGTTAAAACCCAGTCCACAATAAATGCAAGATACAAAACCAGCAAGAAAACTTAGTTGAAAATTATTTAAGGTTCCAGAACTAGGCTTCCTGGGTTCCAGGCCTGGAGCTGGAGCTGTTTAATATGATCGTCCAGGAAACCAAGGGTAATAGAGAAAACCCTGACGTCTGATTGATTTCAGAGCCTCACTTATCTTAAAAAACTAAATCTTGTCCAATGAATTCAAGAAAGATTTAAGAATATACTTCACATCATATTTAAACCAGCTGAGAGGATGGAAGAAAGAGAAGAGCGGTGTTGGGGTGGGGAGAGCAGGGCGGAAGAAGGCAGGAGGCAGAAGGGGAGGTGAGCAAAGGATCCAGTGTCACTGAGGGGAGGGAGTGTGGTTGCAGCCCGCGCGATGCCTGCAGAGCTGCAGAGGGGTGGGAGGGACCACTCACAGTGGCTCTTACACTTTTCTAGGTCACAGACCCCTCTGACAGCCTAACGGAAGCTCTTTTGTTCTTTCTCAGGAAAATGATACATAATTTTGCCTATAGTCTCTGAAACACATCTCCATGCACAGACTGTAGGTAACAGAAAAACCCTGGGCTCAGTAGCAAGTACTGGCTTCAGCAGGGCAGTGTTTATGTATAATCATAACATCTGCATATAAAGGTAATTTCCTATCTTCCGTTGGAATCTTTACAACTTTTAAAAATTTGTGGTAAAATATACATAACATAAAATTTACCATTTTAACAATTTTTAGGTATACAGTTCAGTGGCATTAAGTATGTTCACACTGTTGGTGCAACCATCACCAACATCCATCTCCAGGATGTTTTCATCCTCCCAAACTGAACCCCACACCCACCAAACACTAACCTCCCCGTCTTCCTTCCCCAGTCCCTGGCAACCACCATGATACTTTCTGTTTCTATGAATTTGACTTCTCTAGGGACCTCATATATGTGGAATCATAGAGTATTTGGCCTTCTGTGTTTGGCTTATCTCACTCAGCATAATGTCCTCAAGGTTCATCCATGTTGTAGCAAGTGTCAGAATTCCTTCCCTTTTAAGGCTGAATAATATTCCATTGCATGTTTACACCACATTTTATTTATCCATTCATCCATCCATGTACACTTGGGTTGCTTCCACCTTTTGGCTATTGTGCATAATGCTGCTATGAACATGGGTGTGCAAAACTCTCTTCATGTCCCTACCTTCAATTTTTTGGGGTCTATACCCCGAAGTAGAATTACCGGATCATATAGTAATTCTGTTTAAATTTTTGAGGAACCCTCACACATGTTTTCCACATGGCTGCACTATTTTACCTTCCCACCTTTAAAACTTTTTAATTTTTTTTTTGCTGAGGAAGATTCACCCTGAGCTAACATCTGTGCCAGTCTTCCTCTATTTTCTATGAGAGTTACCACCCCAGCATGCCCACCAACGAGTGGTGTAGGTCCACACCTGGGAACCGAACCCGGGCCACTGAAGTGGAGCGCATCAAACTCAACCAATAGGCCACGGGGCTGGCCCACCCGACCCTTAAAACTTTTACTTCTTTTTCTTGACTACTACTGGGCTGGCTCAAACCCCAGTGCGATGTTAAAGAGGAGCAAGGGAGGAAGGGGTGATGGAGAGGACATCTTTGCTACATTCCTAATCTTAAAGGGAGTGCTTTCCATGTTTCTCCATCAACTACGTTTTCTGGATTTTTTTTGTAGACGTCTTTTATCAAGTTAAGGAAATTTCTATTCTTTTAAAAATACGCTAAGAATTTTTTTAATGTCATACATGGACGTTGAATTCTATATTCTTTATGTATTGAAATAATATAACTTTTCCTTTTTAATCTGTTAATGTGGCAAATTCTATTAATAAAATTCTAATATTAATTAATTGAATGCCTAGAGTAAACCTAACTTGATCATGATTTTTTTACTCATTGTTGGATCTGGTTGGGTAATATTTGTTCAGAATTTTTGCATCCATGTTCATGAGTGTTTTCTTTTCCATTCTCTGTGTAAGAATGAATTATCTGTTTTCTGAAGGTTCAGTAGCCATTAGAGAAAGCCATTTGGATGTGGTGTTTTTGTCATGGTAACATGTTTGACTATTCACTGCATTTCTCTTACAATCAAAAGATTATTCTGACTTTGTGCTACTCCTTGACCTGTTTTGCTAAGTTCTACCTTTCTACGTGGTCATCATTTCAACGTTTTGAAGCGTGTTTCGAGTTGTTCTTAATATCCTCGTATCTGTTTTTCTCTGTAGCATCTGTGGTTATGTTCTTTTTCATTCCATTTTATTCGTCCCTTTGAAAAAAATGAATCTTGTCTTTTCCAACGTGCAGTTTTTGCTTTGCTGATCTCTTCTATGTTTCTCTATTTCATGAATTTTTGTTCCTTTAATTTCCTTCCTTCGGCATCTGTGGGTCTTTGACTTATATTAGATCTTAGCTCCATTTTGAGCCTTCTTATTTTTTTTAAAGGCAAGCACTAAATACTGTTTCCTTCCAAGTATCATATACCATGAGCTTGATGTGAAAAGTTGCATGCTGAAATCTTCTATTTTCAATCACAATTTCTCCTTTGACCCAGGAGTTAATTATGTTATTAAGTTTCCAGGTGAATGGATTTTTCCAGTTACCTTATTGGCTTTGTTTTCTAACTTAATTGCATTGTGGTAAAAAGAAAATGTGGTCTGTCGGCTCGCAATCCTTTGAAGTATACTGAGGCCAGCTTCAGGTCCGAGTGTTCATCAGCCTCAGCAAGTGTTCCACATGTGCTTGAAAGGAATGTGTCTTTTCCAGACATCAGATGCAGTCAAGTCCATTAGCGCGAGCTCCACCATTATACTGTTCAACATTTTCTATTTTCTTCTTTTTGGTCTATTCAATCTACTGATTACTGGTGTGTTAAAATCTATTATGATGGATTTGACAAATTTTTCCTTTAATTCTGTCAGTGTGGCTTTATCTGAGCAAATTCACGTGGTACACACAAATTTAGAATCAACAGATCTTCCCGGTGAATGGAATCATTTACCATTATGCAGCAAATTTTCTTATTTCTAGTAATGCTTTCTGCCTGAATTCTCCTTTGATATTAACATGACTATCCTTGCCTCCTTTTGGTTACTATTTGCCTGGTCTCTCTCTCCCATGGTTTGGCCTTTTACCTTTGTGTGTGCCTTAAGTGTGTCTTTTGTAAAGAGTATACAGCTGAAATTTGTTTTGCTTTTAAAATATGGTCTAACTATGACAGCTTTAACAGGAGAATTTAGTCCACTTATACTTACTGTGATTAGTGATTTGTTTTTTCTTCTAACATCACATTTTGAACTTTTGACTTGTCCCATTTCAACTGTTCCTGTCTCTCTTTCCTCCACTTGGACCATTTCGTTTTCCTTGGCTTATTGATTCTTTTCCCTTTACTTCCTTTGCAGGCATACACTGGGCCTATTTTATTAGTGTTTACCTCATTTAATACACATTTAACAACAGTTACAGGTAATCAATAGCCACAGTCTTCTCCTGGACAATATAAGGACCTCGTGATGCTTTATTCTCTAATCTACCCTGGCAATTTATAAGCTATCATAACTTGGCATTTTAAGTCTAACCTGCTCTATTTTCCCCATAGATGATCTTTGTTTCATATATAGTCATTGGTTTGTTTATATTGTCACATATTTATCTTGGGTCACTACTTCTCCTACAACTCAGACCACGCATCAGAGGTCATTTTCCTTTGGCTTGAATTACATCCTTCAGAATCCATTTAGCGAGGGTCATTGGTGGTAAACTCGCAAGCTTGGCACTTTCCCTTATTTTAGTTGGTATAGAATTTTCAGTTGAGTTATTTAATCAGCACTTGGAAGATATTATCATCTGGTCTTACAGTCTCCACTGTTGATGTTAAAAATTTCACTATTCATCTGTCATTCCTCTGTGGGTGATACTGTCCTCTCCAGCTGTCTTATAACCAACTCATCTTTGTTATCTCTCCCTATATCTATGTCAAGACATACTTATACTGCTTGGGGTTTGTTGGGCTTCTTAATCTGAGGGTCGGTGTTTTTCAACAAATTTGGAAAATTCTCGCCATTATTTCTTTGAACGTTGCTTCTTCCCCATTCTATTATTTCTTTCTGGAACTTTACTCAAGAGTATAAATTTCAATTATATTTTCCCTTTTTCAAATATGGTTAGTTATGTCTCTTGTTATCTGCTTAGATTTTCATTTCTCCTTTATTTCTTCAAATGTATTAAACTTCTTTTAGAGTCTTTGCTATTTCCAGTATCTGAAGAAGGCTTTGCAGATCTATTTCTGCCTGCCATCCATTGTTTCTCACTCATGGTGTCTTGTCTCCTTGATTTCATGTCATTTCTGTTACCTGCTCATTTTCTTTGGAACTTGGCTTTGTTAAGAACTATTTGAATCTTGAGTTACGTTGAATTCTCCCAGGCAGCATCTGCATTTCCTTTTGCTGGTGGTCTAGCGTGCAGGGAAGACAGGAGGAGTTACCACACTGGAACCACTGTGGGTTAAATTCTCACTGTAGGTGGATTTATGGACCACACAAGGACACTTTGTGGTTACTATTCTCAGGTTACTCAGGTTATCTAACCTGCCATACTACTAGAAACAGAACTCCTATATGGTCATTTATTTCAAATCAGATGTTCACCTTTTTTGTGCATCCAGGAATCGAAGAATAATGCTTTTAAGTATATAAAATAAAATACACAGGATTACAAATGAAACCAATTATACTGAACAAGTTACCAACATTTTAAAAGACAAATTTGTGATATAGCAAT